TGTGGAAGCCTTTTCTCTCTCCACTGCTGATGATGGTCTGTCTTCTTAGACACTTGAATAATGTCTCTCTTCCCCTTGTAACATCTTCTTTGACTACTCCTCATGCATAGTAATGCTAATAATCTTGCAGCTTTCAGCGACATTTTTCTTCCTTTAAATGAATGCCTGGTTTTATGCAGGGCTGTTTTGTTCAGTACCTTGTCTCCTGCATGCCTCTTTCACTGCACAGTGTACCTGTGTACATACAAATGTCTATTTACTGCTGCCCATTATGAGCTGTTCATGTTCCATTTAGCAGCATGCAGAAGAATCAGACTAATTGATTATCTATATTGTATAAATTGTAGCAAAGCATAAATGATGCATTCAAGATTAGTTTGCTATTATGTTGAATATTGTACAAATGTATATGTAAGCGTAATCCCTCCCAAAAGAACTTAACACCACCATTAACCAGGGACCTTTTGCATGTGAAATGGACTTGATACCCAGCAAATTATACAGTGGATAATACTATGTGCAGTCATGTAGAAGGATATATTTTATACTACCTGACCACCACAGAGTTTTACAGTTCTTTCCTCAGAGAAGATGAATTCAGATTCTATCGCTTTCTAAATGTAATAATGTAAATATGGACAATAGATAAGTATTAAGCTCATTTGTCAAGGGGAACTAGGCAATTCATCTCAGGTCATGAAGCAAGAAAAAACAAGAAATGCAGATAGAATCCAAAATTTAACTGTTAGTCCAGCCCTGTAACCGGCAGGGAGCACACTAATGTGCTTTGTGCTTCTAAGTTATTTTTAAGCACCTTCTCAGTCATCATTAAATGTTAAAAGGATCCTGTATCTTTTGGAAAGGGTGCCGTTGAAGATCCTGGCTGTTTCCAAAGCTTCCCGAAATAGAAATCCTCACGTGTAAATGACCAATATAGGATTTCAAATGCATTTTATATAAATAATTCTGGTAGGAACTCTGGACTAAAATCATTCTGATGGCTTTGATACAAGTGCACAGTTGGTCTATGAACTTGCAGTCGCTGCAAAGAGTAATCACATTAATCTAAACACTATTCCAATGGCAGCTGACAAAGAAATGAACACCAAACTAGTCAGCTCAGGCCCCTCCTGCTTATTTAACCAGTCCTCCTGCTGCACTTAATATTATCACTATAAAATCCAGAGAGAACGCTTCTGTTCAAATAGTCTTGAAACAGTCATACACTGCATTCTCAGAAAGAGTCACGCACTATTAAACATAAGAAGCAAATTATAAGCAAGAACTTAGAATAAAGGTGAAACACGCAGACACCTTCAGAACATTGAACATTACAGCAAATGTCATCATTTGCTTTTCCTTTGAATTGATGTTAACAAGTAAAGCATTTTACTTGTCTTTGTTTACCAGCGGAACATAAATACTGCATAAACTACATCTTCTTGCAACTAAGCTTTGTCTACAGGAAGGCAGCGTATTCTAACTATGTTTATATTTTCAAAAAGTTGAAAGCTCAGTGGTTGAGCAGAAAGAAATCGGGATGCTGTGTACACGTGAAATGTGCTTTTCATTAAATAAGTACTTGAGAAAATCTTAAATGCCTCAGCTTGAGATTGCCCAACGATCTGCAGCGCCGCTCAACAGGATCTATCTCCAAGTATTTAATGAAGCACCTGAAGTGCCATGGGAGCCTACATCCTAGTCTAAATCACAGCTTCCCAAGTGATGTACAGCCACCTTTCCCCTGGTAGAGAAAGATGGAAATAGACACCTAGGAAGAGGATCACAAAAGCATTCAGGTCTTTCTGAGGTGCTAATGCACTACTAGGCAATCCAGCAATGCCCTGCCTAGGCCTTCTATGCATCCCAGCATCCCTAATTTTGCCCACAGAAGCCCCTCTCACTCACATGCTGAGCAGCTGCTCTGAGTCCTGCAGACTCCCTTCAATGAGCCAGCTGCCCCATAACCTTGGTAATTTTAACACCAAACCTTCCAGTCCTGGGATCCTGGTGGAGCCTTCCTGTCATAGGCTTTGTGTACTCCAGAAAATACAGCGTAGAGAGGCAGTGCTGTATTAATACAGTGCCTAAGAGCTTTGCTGGGCCACACAGACAGTTTGAGGAAATTTTATATGCAAAAACTTCAAGATGCTTCTGAATGCCAGCACAGCTACAGCACTAGGTGGGCTCCTTGCGGACATCCTTGCAGAGCTAACATTGAGTGATGTTGCAGGGGAAGCATCTTGCAGTATTGTGTGCTACTTAGAAGGGATAGAAAAAAGCCCTGTCCTTACTCTCCCACCAGGAAAGTGTAGGGACTTCTGCCAATTCAGCATGAGCTGATCTAAACTTAACTGTTTCAATCTGCCTGTGATGGGCTGATTCTGCCTCCAAAGCTGCACACTGGCTGGAGACCCGTTGTTAGGACCTACAGATTGAGAGGAAACTGGAACAGTTTCCACTGTTTTTGTGCAAAGCCAGAGCCTGGCTTGTGAAAGAAATGACAGCATAATATCAAAATGTATCTTTCAGTCAGCCCAAGGATGAAATGCCCTGGGTGCTTCTGCTTTGCTTGAACACCCAAATTCTGATTTCCCATTTCACAAGGAAGCAAAACAAGAAAATGATATGCCTATGCTCTGGCTAATACAAACTGGGCTGTGCTCCATAGATTACTGAATGAAATATTAGCATCAAGTACCACCATGCTGTGTGTAACATCTGGAAAAAAGTTATAGAGCGATTTTCATTATTTTTATAGGAGAACAGAAAACTGCAAATGGTAGAAGATATAAGAGGGATTTCTAACAGATTGTACATTGTCAGAGGCTCTCTTTCCAGCTGTGGCAAACCTGATAATAAAACACACAATCACCTCGAAGCACAAACATCAGCAGAAACAAGGCAGCCCCCATGGAGAGCTTCCATGCAAGACAGGCTTTCAAAATGGCAGCTCCCCACAGGTAAGAAGCCGTTTGGATGCTTTGGAGAAAGTCTGAAAACATTTAAAGGATCAAGGTATAGCCTTGAGTGAGATACTCCTTTTTTTGTTTCTTTGGAGGAGGTTTTCCTTGTTTTGTGCATTAAAATAGAAAGCAGAGACTTTACTTATAAGAATATCCTCAATAAACATATATTCCTAGGAGAAGAAAGCAAAGATGATTAGAAAGCAAAAACAAAGGAGATGGGAGAAAATCTAGGGACAAAATGTTCTTGCCTGGCTATGGAGAAAAAAATCAAGAGCTGCAAAACAGCAGCCCCTGTTATTTGCAAACACGTACCAAGGAGGCTGAGAATAGATCCAATGACAGCTGCAGCCTAATTGATAGGAGACTTGCCTAACAGGTTGTCAGACTGCTGCGTGGCTTCAGTCCAGGCCATGTTGCTGGAGGCGCAATGTTAGAAACACTGACAAACGTTTACTAAAAATAAATTAAAAAATATTCCAGGGCAAAGGGAAATATGGCTCCAAGTGACTACTTGCAAAATTGCGTTAGACCTCTAGGAAAGAGGAAAGTAAGCGGCAAAACGTGTGAGAGTCCCCCCAGGGCCAGCAGGACAGACACAGGCAGCCTGCCAAGGCACTCCAGGATTGTGCTGCCTGTCAGGAGCATTGGCTCTGGGTGTGCTGAGAGCAGACCTCCACAGATGCAACAAAAATAACTACCAGATCAGCAAAGAGCACAATCAAGAGAGTTGACTAGCTGCAAAATAAAATTATATTTGATGTATAGAGATGGATCTGTTTAATGGTAGGATGAAAACCACAGGGGCAAGTCTTTGAACTCTTCTTTTACTTACCAGGAAAAGGATGCATGGCTTCCTTGGCCAGTGGGGATAAGAAGCACTGTGAGAGTTGAAAGTGGCTTAGGTACAGCCCTCAGCTCAGCCCATCCACACGCACACAGCCAGAGAGTCACTTTTGGGATTGTTGAATGTATTCAGCTACATGATAGGACAGAAGGCTCGAAAGAATCTTTGGTCTTGAGCTCCCAAGTCAGCAATGCATCCAAGCAACCTGCAGAGCAGACAGGTGAACATGAGACATTCTTCTTCAGAGAACAAGAGAAGTGATGCTAAAACAGAGGGAGGGGAGGAAAAAAGAGAGAAGTCCTATGGATGAAAGCCTGTTAGGGCTGTGAAGGCTGCTCTCTTTGAAGGAGATCCAACCTTGGTAAAGCTGAGACCCTATGTGGGAGGGAAACAATATTCTCAAGCTAACATCTAGCACTATAAGCAGCACCTGGGGCAGGACTATTACTGTGCATGTGTGCACAGAGGGACCTTGAGCTGAGGGGACACAGTCCCTCTGGATTTACTAGTACTACTAGACAAATAATAAAGCCGATGCCTGAAGTAAGGGGAAAAGAGCAGAAAAAAAAAACCAGTGCTGGCTGCACAGTCTGTCTCCAGCTTTCCCCATAGGCTTGGGGATACTGCACTTGACACCTCTCTCTCAATCTCTGGTTAATAGTGAAGATGATCAGCAAATTAACACATTCAGAATTCATTCCTAAAAATACTTCATTAATTTCTATAGAAAGGAACTTCAGAAAAAGCACTTTCATTTCTTGGTCACACCATGATATTTATTTCTGTTTCTGAAAGGTTGTGAAATATTTGTAAAAAACGTTTTTCAGAAATAACCAAGTGATTTTACATAACAAATAAATTCATAAGCGTCTCTGTCTTTTCACACTGCAAAACAAAAGCAAAATGCATTAAGGAATCCTTTGCTGCTCACTCCTTTCTGGAAAAGTGACATTAGGTCTTTATGATCCCTGAATTAAAACTCAGAGGGCACTTTTTTTCCATAGCAATATACAGAGGTCTAACACAGGGCTACCATGAAAATTAACAGAGTAGCCACATTGCTAACAACTCTCTAGGGTACTTTCAATATATGCTCCTCAGCACTTAGCAAATCTGTGGGTAGATAGAGGAGAACAAGAAAATTACTCACAAGCCAGTATAGTCTGGATGAGGAGAGTTCACCGCAGCCAAGGGTGTTGCTACATGAGTGAGACACGGTCAGAAATGGGTCTGAGAAGTAGATTCTGCAGCGCGCTCTGAAATCCAGGCCTGCTCGTCACAATCTCCCCCTGAAGAGCAACTATTAGCAGACACTTCTTTATTAGGTGAGTTCAGCAACATGGTTTCCAGTACAGGAAATAGGGAATGACAAACAAGAAATTCAGAGCAAGGATCATTAAACAAAAAGTTACCAATAAAGGGAGCCAAAATTCTCAAGAGGTTTGTGCTTGGTGGATGCATGTGTATGTACAAATATCCAGCTTATGCATGCAGACAGATCAGAAGTCTTTCTGATAATTACAGTAGGAGGTGAGCCTATTTCCAAGACTTTTAATCTGGCGCCTCTGGATTAAGCACCTTCTGAGAGTATCACATTAAGAAAATTAAATTATTCAAAACTCTGTTACACATTCACAGCCCCAGATCTGGCTTAAAATATTAGTTACCGTATCTCTTATTAACTGTAATGAAAACCCAGTCCCTGGACTATGGAGAGTGTAAAATCCTGTTGAAGGTTAGCCTTCTGCTTCCTAGGGCCCAGTATTCAATAGAGTTCAAGGCGCTGTGTAGGGGAAAAGGCTGTAGACAGAACCACTATTTTTGTATTGTTTATGAAATAAACTCCTTGAAGAGCATACTTGCATCACATTACTGCAAGAGTAGAATTCCTGCTTGTGCTGGAAACCAAGTGTCTCAATCTTTCATACAGAAATTTTTTGCCCCCTGTAAAAGACCCCGACCCAGATTGGGTGCAATTTTGAAGCATGATCCTCTTATTGACTTTAATAGAAATAGGATTGAGCTCTATAATCAACTTTTATTTAAGGCAGACATGCTCTTTTGTACTGTGTTATTGTAACTTTACTAGACTTTGGAAAGCATTAACCTGTTTTGAATTCACAACACTACTCCTTAAATAGTGGACTCTCACCCCAGAGACTCAGGACACTGAAACACTGACCTCCTGCATCCAGTGATTTTGATCATGAGTTTGCATCCCAGAACTGCAGGTCAGGTTTAGAACTCAGCTCAGTATATTGAGCACATAGTGGGAGTGTGGAGTTATTTTCTAGGGCACATGAGTCAAATGGTCCATGCTGACAGAGAAAATGGCATGGTTACTGAATGTAAAGGAGTTGCTGCTTCTTTACAGCCAGCCCACTTCAGCAGAAACCTCTGTAGGAAATAATGCAGAATCCCTTTCTTACTGAGCAAGCACTGAAAGATCTTGCTTATTGACAGGGAGCAAGAGCTGGGACATAGCAGAGCACAAGAATATTCAAATGCAGTTTGGGGTTTTAAAATAAAAACAACTTTCTGCTTTTAAATGCAACAAAGTCTAGTTAGTGCATTTCCCCAGAGAGCAAAATCAGAATTTTTGAAATGCCATAAATTATTCATGTTGCCTCTCTGTCATCCCAAGAAGCACCATCTAACCAGAGTGTTCAAAATTCAGAAAAGGGTTGAGCATGCCAGACAGGGATCCAAAGCCCCTCTCACCAAACTACTATAGTGAATGTCAGCAAAGAAGTGCACATCTGCAGGCAATTCATCCCTTGTTGGAGCATAAATCCTGGGCAAAGGCTGCAGGTATCCTGAGTGGGGCTTCAGCACCCAAAACAGCACAGCCATCTTCTGTACAGTTACTTGAACTTTCAAACACTCACCTGGCCTCCAGCTATGCTGCAGCAAACATTTGATTCACGCTTCAGGTAAAGAAAAGTAGTTCCTACTCTGATTTCAGTACTATGTTTTATAATTCATTTATAACTCAAATTCAAGCGATTCGAGCTTCAGTAACCATTATTCAAGGCTGACATACAGCAGGCATCGGGATCATAGGTCAAGGCCTATTTGTTGACCATTCCTGGTACTCTCCAACATAGCAACAGAATTGCTCAAGAACATCCTCTTTGCCATTTGAGAACTGCAATCATCAACTGTGTTCCTTTAGCAGGGTCACACTTTCCTTCTGCTGCAACAGTAAAACTCATCTCTATGGGATACTATCCAGGGCAAGACTGCGCAAAGAACTCCCCAGAGCCACAGTGCCTTACATCCCCACCATCCATGCCAAGCATATTTCTAGCATTAAAACCAAATCCCATGATGACAAGAGCAACAAAAACAGCCCATCCCTACCATAAACCATAAACCATACAACCCTCTGTAGTCCAAGTCACTGTTGTGGGGAGGTAATACATGATACAATTAACAGTTTGTGATAGGTAGTGATTTCAGGCACTACCTGGAGGTACATGGAGGAAGGTCAAGAAAGTGATGGAGCACAGTAGCGCTAGCATGTCGTAGCACAACATCACTAGCACAATGGTCTACTTCCATCCTTTAGCGTTTTTCAGGATCAATCCCTCAGGTTTTACTAATGCAAACTGACCACAAAAACAGGCCCAAATCAGATCCTCACTTGCCATCATAAACATTTCCAGGTACACATACTTTCTTCCACAAAAGAGGAAGAAGCTCTGTACCACCAAGGCCACCAAAAGAAGGTCCCCAGGTGCAGCCCCAATTGCCAGGCACCCTAATCAGCAAGCCACCCTCTCTGCACATCACTGCAGTGGCCTCAAAGAAGACACTGGGCAGTGCTGGATCAGAGCCTTTCTTTATTCATCTACAGTCCTGTATGCAATCTTTAAAAGCTGTATATTGTCCATCAATATTTTGGCATAACTGCAGAGCTGGAGTCAAAGAGCTTTTGTTCGGCCACTGTTAACCACTCCCCAGTTAGTGGGTTTGCTAATCACGTGAATAATAGTTGTTTTGTCAAGAAACATTTTTTAATCTCTGTCAATTCAAATGAAGACTTTGCTAACCCTCAAAGCCATGGAAAACAGGCAGGTCACAAATGCTTTGTACTTTAATGCTATGAGGAAATAATACTTTACCTGAATTAGCCAGTATTGGAACTCTTCCTGTTCAAGATGTTCAGCTAGGAACTGTCTTGCTCACAGGTGCTGCAAAACCAGAGATTACAGGTCAGTTGCAAAATGTCAAGTGCCACATAGGAAGATATGCATTAAGCATATGTTCGAAACATCATTTGGTACAACTTAGGCCGTAAAAGACACACCTAACAGCCCATTAATGAACAAGTGGTTGCTATTATCATTTACTGAAAGCAAACATTGTGATAAGACCCGAAGGGAGATAAGATGTACTATTTGCCCCAGTAAGTTACAAAGATTTGTCAATCATTTGGCTTCACTCACGAACTCAAAGGGGCTAACGAAAGTGACTAACACTTTCTGGAGACTATGCATGGAAAAATTCAGTGGCAAAGAGTGCCTTGGCAAGTTTTAAGGCTGTAAAAACAGAGATGTAATAATGATATTTCTGCTGTAACCTTCAATGCATAGTAATCATAACCAGTTAGACGTAGCCTGATAAGAAATATAAGGCACCGACAAAACAAGCCAAAAACTTTGTGAGAGGACAAATGAGCCCTTGATGATCTGTCTGGTCCAGCTTACTAGCTTTTAACCCCTACGCTTGTAAGCCTTTGTGACAGCCTAGGTTGACTGACTTTGAGAAGACTGCTCATGACTTAGTCAGACATTGGCCTGTAGGAGAAAAGCAGTAATAACCACAACCACCTCATTCCCAACAGGATCACCAGCTAATGCTTTAGGCTGCCCAGGGAGGTGGTTGAGTCACCATCCTTGGACGTGTTTAAGAGTCGGTTAGATGTGGTGTTGGGGGATATCACGTAAGGAAGAACTTTGTAGAGCAGGGTAGATGGTTGGACTCGATGATCCAAAGGGTCTTTTCCAACATAAATGATTCTATGTCTCAACAGAATCATCATATAGAGAAACAGCACAAAGGGTTAGCAAAGAAAAGATGACCAAGAAATTGAGGTCCCTCCTGCACAGCACTGGCAAAGTTCTCTGCCCTTATGTGTATTTTAGTTCCTCATTGGTCTGGTTAGTTCCCCAAGGGCCACGCAGAAGGAGAAAGTGCTGTGTGATAACCCAGTAAGTAAACCATTATTTTGAAGGTGTCCTGCAGAAGAATGGCTATTGTTACATACCCACATTAACATACAAGGTTAACAAACATACTAACATACTGTAGATTACAGCAGTAATTTATTATGTATAGTATGACAATTCAGTCATAATTCTCTGAAAATCACTACTATATTTCCCAGAAAGATTCCCAAAGAACAAAAACCTGTTTATTATTGAAATTATTTTCTTCACATGTGGCTATTCACTTAATCCTGTGTACAATTCAGCAAGCTTTAATCCTTCTGCATATTTCCAATACAGCAATATCACCCTTTTAGCTACTGCATTTGCTCTTAATAGAAATTTTCCCCTGTGGTTCATTTATATTCAAGAGACTATTCAGGTCACCCAGTGCAAATATTTTTGGATCATTGGCGATGTCATTGTCCAGAATCATATTCACTCTATTTCCTCCATTCCCAGAATGAATTTACTAGGTATGGGATGCTGAAAAAAGCTCTTGTTCTCATTCGTCTCATATTTAACTGAAGAAGCAAAACAGAAAATAAATGAAGTCTGATTTGCATGAAATTGTGCATTCTGTATCCTAGTGTTGAACAAGAGCACAGACATTCTTTGAGTTCTGTCATGTCTAGTTTCTATATTTAATTTGTCTCCTTGTTACCTTCTGTTGAATTAAGGGAATGATACAGTAAGGTTTCCCTAACTTAATATTTGTCATTTCATCTGGCTACTAGCTCCACCATAACAATGCTACCTTCCTTCTATCTATCTGCAGATGCTGCATTTGTCTTTCTCAGTACTTATAATTCTTAACAACCAAATCCAACTTAACCTGTTGAAAAATCCACAGAAAGAGAGAAAGGAGAGAAACACATCCTCCCTGTTTGTTTCCCAGCTGAGAGCAGCACTGCATTTGTATTTTGCAGCTCCTGCTTGAAACTGAGGACATCGTGTCCCTTTGCTCTTGGATGCACTTTCATCCCCCAGGCTCAGCAGTGCCTTGCTCAGCCACTTCCAAACTCTGCTACAGAGATAGCCCCAGACAAGCCTGTCTCCAGGATCTGCCAAGTGACAGATCAAAGCCAGAAAATTGCCGTTGTTTCTAACGCTCTTCCCGCATTTAACACTTTGCACTCTCCCCTCGAGGCACTGGAGAGGCCTCTCTGGCTCCTCCTCCTCCTAAACCTGAAGCCTGGAGTCCTGTCGGTGCGAGAGGCAGCCCCAAATAGATCCCTAAGGGCCCAACAATCAGATGTGCCAAGTTATATTAAATTAACTCCCTTGTTTCTCTTAAAAGAGACAAAGGAAATGAAAGACGAGCTCGCAGCAAGGCCATGTGTACCCCCCATTCCTTATCCAGCCCCTTCTAGACATTATTTACAGCAGCACTGGAAGCACTGGAGCCTGCCTTTTAGAGCTCACTGAAGAAGTCAGTGGGAACTTATCCAATAACTCTGTGGCCTTGTTGAAAATTGCTGAGGTTTGGTCTGTGCTCCTTTAAGGCTGCAGGGAGAGTATGAGTGGTGGGACACAATCTAAGCACAAACTGCTGTTAAAGGGGAACCGGGGGCAGGGGGGACAACACACAACACCACTGAACTATTCACAAAGCTGAGAAAATAATATTTTTAATAAAAAAACCCCACTTTTTCAAGCAGTTTTTCCAACTTTAAAGAGCAGCTGCAGCTGGAGTAGTGCCAACTGTGCAGACTCACTCAGCAGACACAGGCTGAACATCACACAATAGCTTCGGGTATTGATGGTTTTAAGACCTGAGGAGTTGGAAGGTAGTCAACGTTGCCTTTTCCAGTCCTTTAACCCTCAAGATGCTGCTGTATTTTCAGAGCGCTGTTTTTGGAATTGTTTCATGGTCCCAAGTGTGGGCTGAGGAATACCAACCTCCACAAGAAGTACAGGTTTAATCCTAGTACAGCCAACTCAGCTCTCCATCTTGCACAGACAGATAATTTGACCACCATGCAATTCATTGAGCAGAAGGTGTTCAGACACAGCATTAAAAATGGAGTGGAATGGCTTTACAGCATTTTTCTAACTGTAGCAATTTGCTATAGCAGTTCCTGGGCTAGACACTCCCCTTCTCTCTGTTCCTTTGTAGCACACTGGATTGCTGTTACTGCCATGTGGCAAATTTCTGTGACCTATCAGGATGAAAACAGCTGTATAAAGGTAAAATGACAGATAATCACAAATGCCTGCAATCTTCAGATAAAGGCAACACATGGAATAATGCAACTTGCTTAAATAATATGATTGTGATTTAAAAATTCAACTTCATTTCACCTGATACTGCTATTCAGATGGATAAACTTTATTTAAAAGCAATCTGTTCTTTGTGGGCCCGTGTGTCCCTATGTGCTTATTTAAAAAATACTTTGCTATGCTTCGGTATCCTGATTTCACATCTCCTGGACTAAAATAAGAGTTGCTTAGTATCCCTGTCACAATGGTGTGAGAATCCTCAAAAATGGCCATACAGGAGCAGTACTGCAAGCCCAGCAGCTAGTGTGGCCTTTAGCCGCACAGGGGGCAAGGGTAGAGTGACATGATGCTGTGCTGTCACCCAAAGCCTCTTCCACCCTGGCAAACCAGGTATCCCTAGCACAAGTACTGCTGGTCTGGTGTGGGCTTCAGCGAAGAGTTTGATACGTGTTTTCCTACTGCAGTCAGATAAACACGAATAGTATTTCCTGTATCACTTCCTCTGCTTGGAAGATGGTGCGGAAACTTCAGCTGCTTTTTCCTGATATGTAGGGAGGAGGCAGACAAGGAGGGGAATATGTAGAGAGCTGGCAGAAGTAGGGTAAGAGAAAATAAAAGCAAGAGTAGAGAAAAGAAAGCAGGCGTCCAGGCTGAAAGAAGACTAAATGCCACAAATTTGCAAAGATAATGGTCAGTAAACGAAATCAGCTGCTGTAAGAGTCACTAAAAGAGGAGTAGAAGTGTGTTTTAAAACAGTTTTGTGTGGTTAACACATGCAATGCAAGGCCTTGAAAGAAGAAAGTCCTCTACAGGTGGCTTTTACTTCCCAATTCCAAGGGAGTGAGCAGAGCTCTGCTGGATAGGGCAGCAAGGAAGCAAAGAGAATAGTAGAGGCTGAACAAAGCAAATGGGAGAGGGGGTGTGGAAGAGAAGGAGATGGATGAGGAAGGGAATATTATTTTGTAGAGCAATACAGTACTTTGCTGGGTCACAGCCAGCCTCTGAATGCACCTCAAACTCTTATTTCCCATTTTCTCCCAGCTGGATAGATAATTGCCTGACTATGGAATTGTATTAATCATTTTTATGTCTATGATCTCCAATGCCAGCACAAGGAGTGCTGTTAGACAAAGCTGTGTCTCACCATAGGCTGCAAGAACAGAACAGGACCCCCTTCCCCTCCTGTATTTGAGATCAGTCTCTAAGAAAAGCACAGGAAACATCAGGAATTCCCAAGGATCGATGGGGTAAGATATTCCTATCGTTTCAGTAATATATATTGTATTCTCTCCCCAAGCCTTTCATACACAGCCTGATTTATTAGCCTTAGTCAGCATTCTGTCTTGTAGACCTGCCAGAAAAGCACAGTGGGATGAAACATCTGGTAAATTTGCTCAAATTCTATTATGAAATATCTTCAAGTTTCAATGAAAAGTAAACAAGTCATTGTCTTTAAAAAGTGATTCGCTTTGCTGTCAAAAAACACTGGCAATCAGCAGTAGGCAATAGTCCTTTTTTCAGGGCTGTCAAAGGAGAATAGCTCCAATTGTGAACCACTCTGGGCCAGGTAGAAGACCATGTATATCATTGCTGGTTCAGTGAAATTTAACTTGTTCACCAGTGTCTGCTGTCTCATTGCCATGCAGTGACATTTTAAGAGCAGCCCTGGGGATGCACAGAGAGCACGGGGCACAGCAGGCTTGCATCTCCCCAGCAAGGCAGGGTGCTGCAGAGACTCCTAGTTCAGTCAGCGCTGAGCT